ACACAAAACCTGTTCAAAGGACACTAAAATCCTACCTCATTCAAGTTTAAGGTTTTATATATTTGAGACAACCTACTTTGAAAGGAATGTAAAATAGTGATAAATATTTAAGTCTATCTATTAATATTTTCAATTCCTTACATTTTAAGCTTTATAATTTCATAGGGTTTATAATATTTATAAAGTTCATAAGTTTTGTTTTCTATAAGTTTTATACCTATCTTGAAAAGATAATATTCTTACTAGTTCTAGTTCAAATGACGATATAACATGCCAGATTTTAAACATTACATGATGCTCAAAAATTCCAAGAAGTTTTTCCTACTGACAACATTAAAATGCTTCTACCACAGTTTTTTTTTACCAGTTATGAAAATTTTAAAGACAAATACAGAAAAGTTACCCAAGCATCTAATTGTTCAGAACCTTTGTAACTCTTTCATTCTATTACTTGTCTAGTGCTGTCAGGTTTCACTGATGTAATGAAATTGTAATTATCGCTATAAAAGTTACCCTAAGTGGAACACTTTCAAGGAACTTTTATCACAACTGAATACCTATCCCAGAGCCAAAAAAAAAAAAAAAGCATCGTAAAAATACTAATAGTTGATTTTCTAAATGCATATATATTCATATTCATATATACATATATATATTTATATATAAAATGCTTAAATAGTCAAAAGAGAGGCAGCAAATTACAGCTACTGAGAGTGAACTGTCACTCTAAGTGAACTGTCAATGGTGGCAAAGAAAACAATGGTGCTAAAAGGGTTTGAGCCACCTAAGCTGCAGAAGCCCACTGGATGGTTTCCTGGGTTCCACCAAATCACAGACACAGTGACAAAGGCCTGGACAAAAGGGCGCCCTGCTTTATTATTCTCCAGTAATGCTCTGCACTGGGCAGTGACCATTTCAACCCCCACCCCTCAACTAGCGGACATCCTATACTACCCTTTTCCAGGTCTCAGTTTAATCAAAAACAACAAAGCAACACAAGTTATTAAAGGAAAAACCATTCATAAATCAGAAGTGTAAATCTCTTCTCCATTTTTCTCAAAGAAAGACACAGAAGTGGAGATGGAGGACGATAGATAACTATTAAGAATTTAACCCAGTATTATAAACTAGTCAAATAAAAGCAAATGAAAATGATGATTCCTCCTTGCCTTGAAAGTACCATTCAGGAGCTTAACCTGACAGTTCTGGTATTTCCATATGTTTCTCTAAGAGTTCAATTTGTAAAGATGATTTGCCCTGGAAGGGCAAACCAAAGAAAAGGTCTTAGACTCCTTAGTCAAGATTTATTCACAATGTGCCCTGAACAACTTTGGCTGGACTACTTTTTATCAGTGTAAAGGTGTGGGTGGGGGAGCAATGCCTTATTTCCCACAAGCTGTTTATAAAACCATTTTCAAAATAAAGTGCTGTTCAGCCATAGGTGTTACCACTTTCATATTTGTAAAGTACAGGTGAGTGCCAAAGAGCTGTCCTATATATGCATTTATCTCTTTGTTTCCTTTGTTTAGAAGCTAATTTACTTCGTGAGGCAGCTTATTTACTGTAAAACATTTCCCTACCAAGAGGTCCCAACTGCCGAGAAGTCCATAAAGTGGAGTTTTTAGTTATATTAACTATTTCAAAAGGACTGAAAGAAAGCCATAGACAATAATAGCTCCTAGTAAAGCCACACAGGCCATTAAAACAAGCTGTTTTGCTGTTAGGTGTGAAACTAACAACCAGACGCTAACACTGATGGTAAGTAGGTCTGTTTACTGAAAAGGGAAAAACAATACTTAAGTTGGCATAACAGTCTGTCTTATCACAAGTTCACAGAAAATAAGGATGAAGAAAGAGTCCCTAAGGTTAAACAGGGCGGGGGAGATAGCTCAGTAGAATAAGTGCTTGCTAGCACAAGGCCCTGAGTTCAATCCCCAGTTGCACCAAAAAAATAAAATAAAGAGCATACCCTAAGGTTGAACAGAGTACTGTTTTCCTTTTATATTCAATACCAGAAAAAATTATGAAACAGGTAAAAATAGCTCAATTTCCTTGATCTAGAGAAAAACCTATATTGTGGGTGTGTATGTTTACGTCTGCCACCTACCTTTCATTTGTAGTCAAATTTCAGATCTTCTATTAAGCCCTCAGTGACCTTTTACATATTTATGTTCTACCCATGATTTTCTTGATGTCATCTCTACACTTGACAAACTTGGCAGCTACCTTTCAAGATAGTTTAGACCTCAGTTCAAATAGAACATTGTTAAACTGATGGCCACAGTCAGTAAAATATTTATTGAGTGGAGATAAAGAGCATAAAACATAATTATAGAATAGTCTCCCTGTTACCATTAAGAAAAAAGAAATAGCCAGGCATGGTGCTGCACACCTGTAGAACCAACACTGGGAAAGCCGAGGCAGGAGACTATCAGGTTCAAAGGCAGCCTGAGCTACACAGTGAAACCCTGTCTCAAAAAAGAAAACAGAAGCACTCTCAACTATAAAATATATTCTGTTTATATTAAACATAACCATAGCAGAAATAGTAAAAACTAAAGAAGAGAGGAAATATCACCATGAATCAAACATGACCTAGAAAAGCCTTAAAGGACAGTCAGGGAGTAGTCAGACATGAAAAGATGGACTGGGATAGGTAAGAGAGCAGGGTCAAGAGCACAGCTGACAATGAAGTCTAAACAAGGGCAAAATACCTTTAGAGGATTATTCACAAACCAGCAAGCACATGTATAAAGAAATACCCAGTGACACACTATTCACTGAGCTCTTACAAATCAAAAGAATGCCTTTTTGTAAGCAGAGACAGGACTCACATATAGAATTCAATAAATATCTGCGCTGCCTAAAGAGCAAAAAGCAAAGAATAAGTCAAACCATTTTTTTAATGAGCTATAACGTTTTACAGAATAAATTTCAAACCCAGTAGACAAGTACTAGCATTTGAAATACAACTCCATTTTTTTCCTTGTTTTGTCCCTTTAAGTAAATGGCACCAACAGGAATAAGCCTTGTAGCCTTCTCCAAAATACCTACTTTATAGTCTTTACCTTTTAGAGACACATTCTGAAATACAGAGGAAGTGATATATCTAATTCACCAGCGGCTCAATTTTAGTAGTTCCTACTAGCAGTACTGTTATACTAGCCCCTGCCAGATCACCCTTTCCCTGAGGGTGTCTAATGCTTTTTTATTTTTATTTTTTTCCCAGTGATGGTGATCCAACCCAATGCCCCACACACTAGACAAGTGCTTTACCACTCAGCTACACCCCCACCCCCCAGTCCTCTAATTTCACTTCTTATTCCACTTCCATTACCACTATCTAATTCAGGTCATCACTCAGTACCTTTGTCTGTGGCAGACTATCAGCCTCCAATATGACTCTCACCAGAGCACTGCTGGCATTTTAGGTAGGATAATTAATTACTGGATGTGGCAGTCAGCCTGAACATCACAAAACATTGGGAATCCCTGTACCCCTGGCATTAAAAACCACCCTGGAATCACTCCCACCCCACTTTCCACTGGGATAACCAAAACCACAATATATTTTCTAATGCCAACCTCTACAGGAAACCACTTCTAGTCCTGGATAGCAGGCCACATCTCCCAATTTACCTGAGTAACTTAGTGACTCCCACAGCCTACAAATGCTATCATTTAGCCAGTCCTACCTTTTCCTAGCCATACCCCAACTTCTACCAGAATAATCACCTTCCAAGCTAACAGCCATTACTGTTAGCTACTTGATGTTCACTACTGTTATTCCATGTATGGAAAATCTTTCATTACCCAAAAGCCTGGGCTTCTCAAATCTAAGCAGAATTTGTCTGCAACCACTCTTAACCGTCAGTGTCTTGTTTGGGTGGGGTTTCCTCTGCCTGAAATGCCCTACCACCAGACTTCCAAATTTATACTCACCTTCTCAAAACCTTTATGCTACACTACCCCTCAAATCAAAATTAGCTGATTTCTTTGGCTCTTCTAACATCACGGTAGTTATCCTATTGTGTAAAACTCTCCACCCAAATGCCGAGTTCTTGAGGCAGTCTGCCTAATTTTGAAACTCTAGTATCATGTTCAGTAAGTGAATTCTTTCCTCACTAAACACTTCATTGCAATGGGGACTTTTTTTGTTTTGTTTTGTTTTGGGGAATACAATACTCATCTCCTAGAGAGTCTGGTAACTAGTTTAAAGTTAATTAGTGTAACTCCAAAGTCTGCAAACTACCCCCTCCTTGTAGGCCCTTGAATACCCTCTGACTTCACCAGAGGGCGTCCACGCCAACAGATTTGGTGTTAGCCATATTTAAATATCACCTTTATTGAAGTTATGACAGTGTGTTCTGCGTTGGGGCCCAAAACCTAACATCAACCGCGTAACAGCCTCACAGACACCGGGGAAAAGTTATTCAGCACGTGAATCGGTGTTGCACCAGGTTCCAGGGTTCTAGTGGACTTACTACAGCAATGAACGCGTCTTTGAGCGACCCTTCGGGCGCCCCGGGTCGCGCCCTGGGCAGCCCGGCGACTTCCCTGCTGCCCTGCCAAGCGCGCACAAGCCGCGCCCTCGCACCTGCAGCGGCCCGTGCGCAAGGCAGGCCCGCGGGGCCGGGTAACTCGGTCCCAAAGTCGTTATTCCTTAAAACGAGTCCGCGCTCAGGGTTACGAAGACATGAGCACGTGGGTATGAGGGAGACCTGAGGAAACACAAGTCGTTAAAACTTACGGGCTCCTTCCCCGCCCCACTAGGGCTCGGACTAGTGCCAGGGCCGGCGGAGAGTGGCCAAGGCGACCCCAGGAGGGCGACGGGGGCCGCGAGGGGCCAAGAGCCAGGAGGACGCACCCTCCGCCTGCTCCCCTCAGAGCTTCGAGCCGTCCTCTCGGGGCCTGACCGGACCGCTCGCCGCAGAAGGGGCAGCCCCGCCCCTCGGGGAACCCGGGGCCTCTCGGGGGTCCCCTTTGTCCAGCCGCCTCACCGTGATGTTGCAGTGCAGAGTGAGCGGCTGCGGCGGCGAGCGTGGGCTGCCCAGCGGCGGCACCAGGAAGTGGCAGTGCAGCTCGTCCAGTTTCCAGCTGACGATGCGGAACCGCTCGTGGTTCTTGTCGAAGATGGACGCCAAGAACTTCAGCTCGGCCTTGAGCCCCGACACAGACATCTTCCGCTCATCTCCGGCGGGGTGCGGAGGGAGCCGGCCGGGGGCGCCGTCACCGCGACCGCTCGCGGCCAGGGCCGCGTTTGGGGCTCCGCGTCCGCCCAGGGCCGTGCGGTGAGGCGAAAACGGCGAGGGCGGGCGCGGCGGCCTTTGTAACTGACCGACTCGCCGGCAGGCGG